AAATTGGACTTACCAATTGGTGGCATCGTTTCACTTTAATATTCGTTTTAATATTCACGTTATAAAGGAATGTAGAAATAAAAGGAATAACTAATGCTTTTTCTCTGTAAGGAATGTTCTCTGTTTTATATAGTACTTAATCGAACGACTTCTTATAACTAAAAGACAAAAGCGAACTGACGCCTACTTGAGTCCTTTACCGCCATCTATTATATGGTTACTACACACATACACACAGATTCAAGTCCGATTTATATTAATAACTCACACATTGTATGTCACACAATTATGCAAGAAAACATTCGATTCGCAAGTCACTATAGATTTCGTTATGAAAAGCTTTTGAAAATTGGTTCTCAGAAAAAATTTAATATAAATTCCAGAAAATTCAAATAATCTTTATTATATATATATGAGAATTTATTGTTTGTTAAAATTTTTCGTTTTATATTTATATTTATCTTAGGAATAACTCTTTTTATTTTCATGTATTAGTATCTTTTGATTTATTTTAAATATATATATATTTTTTTTTGTTAAAGATGATAATTATGTGATTGAAAATTGAAATTTTGAAATAATTCATGAATTTATTCGAATTACATATTGTAAAATTTCAAGGATATTTTAGAATATTTCATTAAATAATTAACAATTATTTTAGAATTTGTCTTTTTCTTTTAGGAATTAACTACATTAGCTGAAAAATCAAAAAATATTCATATCATCGAAATAGGTATGTAACTATATCATATGATTTTAAGTTCATATTAAGTTCAAGTAAAATATTATCATTATTATTTTTACCACAAATATAATCTAACAATAATCTGTTTCGTTATTGACTTCATTTTTTATAAAAAAAATTATACAATAAATGAAAAATAAAAATTGTTTTTATCATAAATCATAAATGAAGTTTTTCTAAATTAATTTAGAAATCAGATAATTGTGACTTAATACATTTTGTTTTTAAAGTATAAATTTAATATAATTTTTAATACAATTTTTATAGTAATAAAATATTTTATAATAATATTATAAATATTAATAAAATATTATAAATATTAATAAAATAAATATTTAAAAAATACATTTAATAAAAAAATTATAGTAAAAAAATTAAAATTACTACTTACAATTATTTTATATTTTTTCATTTCTTATTTTAATTATCATAACT